CACACACACACACACACCTTGTCTCCTTCCTTCCTTCCTCCTTTAAAATTAACTTTGTGAGTTTAGAGCTCAGTGATTTGAGTGGTTAAAAAAGGGAAAAAGTTAAATCCTTACACAGCCTGGCCAAAGTCCATGTCATTATTTTAGATACCATTTTGACTGAATCTTTTGATTCCAGCTTGACTCTGCCAGATCAGAGTGTTTTTCTGTTGTGAGAGCCACAAAGGGTTTGTGAGGAATTTTGCCTTCGTCTCCTTACACACATTTATCTCAACACACACACAGGCCTCAGATATACTGATAACCCCCACCTACGCAGGAAAAAAAACACTGCCACGAGGCACAGACAAGACTTGGTTGGCATAGGTCAACTACCCATGATGCCTTGCACATTTAATGCTTCCTTTTCTCCATCAATTGCATGCAATTAGTGGCCTATTGTGTAGCGCTCCGTCAAACTGAATCCTATGTGGCCCCGACAGACTTGTTTCCTCTCTTCTTTTGGTTTTACCTCTGGGTGAAATGTAAATTTCACATGTTGGTAAATTGCTCTTTGCATCTCTGGGAGACACAGCACTGAAGCAAAGGCAGGGGAGCCAAAACTGCTTTATTTTCTCCACACAAATAATCACGATAGAATGCGGCTGTGCTGTCTTGGAAACAGAAACCGCTCGATGCAAGGCTACGAGTTGCAGCACTCAGCCACGTAACCCCTCCAGGTACATGGGCATGTTTTTTCACAGTATAGAGACTCACATGGAACTTCATAGTAAGTCTGATTTGGAAGGACTATTTGTATTCAAGACAGTATTGAAATAAACCAACAAATTCCCTTGCAAAGTAAACAATTTTATCAGTTAATGAATCAGCCAGTGTGCACGTTTGTCTGTTTCATGTTATAATTCAGCAACAGTTGGTAAAAAGAGAGGAGACGCATAAGAGGTGAACACTAAAGCGAGATTAAAGATAAAAACTATTGGCTCACCAGCATTCGGGAACCTCCAATTACAACTTAAATATGACTTAACAAACACTTACAGTATGTAAAACTTTATGATGTTTTTAAGCTAATAGCCTGTATCTCCACTATATTTTTTTTCATTCAACTTACTTTGCAGATACTCAGGACACCTTGCAAACACAGCCATTAGATTTGCATACAAATTTCTCCAGTTTCAGTCTTCACAAGAATCGCCTTTGGGCTTCACTCCAGATTTAGCTAAAAACGCTGCATTAGAGAATTTAACAGGAAGAATTAAGAGAGCTTTGAATGAAAAACTCCATCGCTTTGCCCTCTCTATCT